AGTAAATTTGGGCATGTATATGTATGAAATTATGAGCTTAACATGTGGACAAAGGATGAAAACCGGGTAGTGAGCGATAACCTGGCATTGAATGTGCAAAATGCGGCATGTGTCGCAAGTGTGGATTATGGCCCAATTGTGAAATCCAATGAGATGGAGGTCCTTAGGGCTCAGTTGGTGGCAGAGCGGAATTTGGTTGAGGAATGTCAAAGTATTATAAGAAGCTTGAAAAGGGAGAGGTCAAAGATGGCGAAGTTGAATCGACATTAGCTAGAAGTATTGAAGGAAGAGAATCAAAAGCTATCAAATATGGTAGAGTTTTACTCTCAAGGCATGCGAAAGCAACTGGAAACCCAAAACCCTAAAGCGACCGGGTAAATGCAAGCAACTAGATCACGAGTGAAGTTGTGCTTAAGCTAAGAGTGATCTTTGAGAGCTCAAGTGATGAGCCCCAGTAGGCTATGCGTGAAAACCCAAAAGGGGACATTCAAAGGGCCAAACTAAAAGCTCCTATGGTCGAGACACAGAGTGCCGTGAAGAAATGATTTCTGTTGTATTATTAGTTTTTTTGTTTTGCTTTTGTTTGTTTTTTCTTTAACCGGGAAATAAAAGAATAAAGTTTGCAAATTTTTTTATTTTTATTATTTATTATTTAGAAAACACCTTTCCCAAACTTAAACAAAAGAATGACGACAATTGGAAAGGACAGTAGAAAACACAATGCATCATAAAACAGGGAGGTTTAAAGTAAAGTGAAAGTGTAGAAATACTCCCCTTTAAAAGGATGCAACTGCAAAATTCTTGGGAAGCGAAGGAATTCGAGAGAACAGGGAAAAGGGAAGGATAACATTCTGGAGATCCGAAGTGTTGCTGGCTCCCTTATCAGCAAAAGTCTGTTTGAACCACGTCTGGGTTAAGTTGAGGAGTGACCTGCATTTCTTCCTGAAAATTCAGAGAAAATAATAAAATAATCAAGAAAAACAATGGCAACCTCATCCACTCCCCTCGATGATCTTAATATGAATTTATCCATTGCGCCATCGTCGACGCAAATAAATGCTTCTCCAAACTGTCTTTCCAAACTCCTCATACCATCATGGTATGTTCTCAACCTTCTCTGAGGCAATGCCGAACAGAGTAATATTGCTTTGAGCATGGTTGTCAGTAGACTCACACTGGCAGATCATTGGCATATAGCACAAAGGTCTGACAGAGTTGCGGTAGAGGAGTCCCACGCCTTTACCATGCACAATGTGGCCTCGGCTACAAATTTAGGTCTACGACTACTAGCTAGAACGCAAAAGTGTGTAACGCTAACTGAGGAAGTGGGTTCCTTCAAGGCTCAACTTGCAAAGTCTCAACAGATGTTGGATTATGACAACACACAGATAGGTGCATTGAAAAGGAGAAATGCAGACTACTCAGGGCTTGTGCAGGTCCAACAAGCAAAGGCCGACACAAACAATTAGCATGAAGCATTATACGACTCAAAATGCGAAAAAAGCATGTGATTTAAAAAACTAGGTATGCATTATCAAGTTTATATTTGTAATCACATGCTATGAAATGAATAAGCATTTAAGCCAATATTTAGAGTGAGCAATCATAGAGCAAACCACTTCCCAAACTTATATGAAACATTGTTGTGAATG